AGTCAACCTTGAGCCGGTGAGATTTGAACCGCCGAACTGCAGATAACAGTCAGCTGAAGTGGCCTGCAGTACAGCACTCTAACCACTGCGCCACCAATTTTCATTTGTATGCAGTTGAGTGAGAGAAGGGAGAGCATAAGTTTAAAAAAAAAAGTCCTTCCATTCAGGAAGCAATATCAGTGATAGAAAAGAGGGAGTTTACATGAGATAATACAGTGATTTAATTTTTTATCGCATGCAGATTACTCATTTTTTCTTGCTTTCTCAAAAGGTTTACCAAAAATGCAAGTGATTAGAAACTACACCGGGATTCCCCAGCCAGTTCCACCGGATGGTCCTCCGTTAATCATCCAGATTGGAGACATCATTGAACTCATCAAAGGAGAGGCACACAGCTTATTTTGGCAGGTACAATCCTGTTTAATACTCAATTTGCTTTCTTTATCTGGTGCTTTCTAGTTGCTTTATTCTTCATGTATGCATGCAGTCTGTGCGAGACCTCCCGGGGGCACCCGAGCCCCCCGAAGCACCCCCACACTCTGGGACTCCGTTCACTTAATGACCTGTGATTCTTGCTTAACAACTGCCACTGGGAGTTCCAGGATTTCAGTGGTTGAGCAAAGTAGTCACATGACATCTCACATAATGATCACTTCATTCAGCGACTGACATTCCAGTTGTAATCATAATTCAAGGACTACCTATAAGGATCTTTACTTGTGCTTTTCTTAGGTTTTGCTTTCTATTCTCTACATTTAACCAAAATATTAAATTAGACCAGAGGTGGTATTCAGCAGGTTCTGACCAGTTCTGGTGAATCGGTAGTGGAAATTTTGAGTAGTTCGGAGAACCAGTAATTACCACCTCTGACTGGCCCTGCCCCCATCTGTTCTCTGCCTCCTGAGTCCCAGCTGATCACGAGGGAGTGGAGATTTTACAGTAACCTTCCTCTGCCACGCCCACCAACCCATGTCCCACCAAGCCATGCCTTGTCCACCAAGCCATGCCCACAGAACTGTTAGCAAAATTTGCTGAGATATAGTGCAGTCCACCAGAGTACTGAACCAATTGAAGCTTCTGGAATAGCAGAATACAAAGAGCACATTGATGTTGATTGATTTGATTGATTGATTGATTTAATGAATTTATAGGCCGCCCAATCCCGAAGGACTCTGGGCATCTGTCAAACTGATGGCCCGCGGGCAGGATACATCACTTGCAGGCCACTCCATGTCTGCAAAGGCAAAAAATGTTGCGATATGTCACAATCCAGCCCATGACGCAATGGAGTTTGACACCCATTTAGTAGTCCATCTGGACATTCCTAGTATGCATGTGCCATGATTTGGATCTCATTTTACTTCAGGAAGATATGCAGCTGACATATTACCATAACTTATTAGACAGACTCCTGGATATTGCCTCAGTGGAAAACTTGAGAGAGATACTATCTTTTGCTTCAAGGAGCAACTTTTCTTAAGCAATATCTAAACTCTGCTTGAGAGACAGGAAAGCATCCTCTAAAAAATGGGCTTCCTGTTTCAAGATTTCCAGGCAATCAATCCAGTATAAAAAGCCACTGAGAAGATATGAAGGGTTCCACCACAAAACCGTGTTCGACTAAACCGCGCTCGACGAAACNCACCTCGCTATGTCTTAGTTGGGAGGAGAGGCGGTTCTAATCCATGGCAGGTTTCGCCTTGACCTCTTCCGTCGCGGCTGAGCGTCCCTTCGGCAGGACACGAGGCCATGCACTGCTGCCCGAGCCTGGTGATGACCCTGAGCGCCCTGTTGGTGATTTTGGGGGTGCTGCACTTGTGGCTCTACCTGCACCAGCCCAGTTGCTACGGGAAGCACGAACCCCACCAGTCAACCCCGGGGAAAAACCACGCCGCCAGGACCCCGCGCGGCGCCCACCTGCCGTCCCGCTACGCCTGGTTCCTCCAGGAGCTGCCCGCCTTCCTGGTGCCCGCGCTCCTGCTGGCGCTGAGCAACCCTCCACGCTTCGCGCCGCTGGGCTGCAGACTGCTGGGAGTCATGTTCTGCGGCCACTATTTCCACAGGTACCCCGCGTGGAAAGGAGGTCGGGCTGGAAAGAGGGGAGAGGAGAGCGCGCTGACCTCCCCTTGCGCCGCTTCTTTAAGCAAATGCGCCGGATCGTCTATGCTGGCTCTTCTAAGCCTGCGGCGAATTCGCCTAGTTAAGTATTGGGGAGCGCAGTGGGGAAGTCGAGTCTGCTAGGCGCTTCTTACACATCCTGATCCTTTTGGGGGGGGGGTGAGTTTCCAAGGTTCAAACGCCCGTTGGGCGAGTAGGGAACGCGGAGAGCTTCAAGAAGCTTCCGCTTCTGCTCTGGAGTGGCGATCCAAGTTAAACTTTTCCGTTTCTTTCGGATTGACTCCCCGCGCAGATTTTTTTGGGGGGGAGGGATTGAGCGGGATGCTCGTTCTTCGCAGCTCCGCAAAAGTCGCTGAGATTTGCGAGGGATTCTTCGGTATGCCAGGTGTATAGGAAGCCGGCCTGAAACTCAGTGGGAATTACGAGGCGGTTATTGAGAAATCGCCTTTGTTCCGTTGCTCGGGTCAGATTTTGAGCTCAGTTTAGGATCGTGCCGCTTTGAACCTGCGTGCCGAGATTGAAGTCTAAGCCAAAATAAATTCGCAGGAAAAGTTTGTTTATAGGGTAACGTTTTCTAGTCGAGCTTCATTTCCGGTGATTTTAGTGCCAGGTTTAGTGGATAGGGTCCGCAGTTCCCGCAAATAGTATTCTCGAGTAGCTGAAATGCTGAAGCTTTGCAACCCTTAATTCTAATGGTTTGGTTTGGTTTTTTAAAGAGAGCAGTCTAAAAATATCCATGAATGTAGAGATGTTATCTTGAGAAGTCTTAGTCTTTTCTGTCTTCTGCAATTTATTGCAATAAATGTTCAGCTTCTATTTTAAAAACCAGGAATGAGGAAGAAAGAAGATATTAAAGGTACTGATGGAACAGCTTGCTTTCCCTGGCATACTAAGATCTTGATACCATAAGAAACTCTTTTTGTACTTCTAACACTTTATTGAACAATTTACACCATTCACCTTTTATGCCCAGTGCCCTTCCAGAGCTTCAGCTGCTGCCTTTCTAATCCTTTAAAATCGTTTTTTAAAAGATCTTATGTTTTTATATTTTTATTATTACATTAAAAGTGAAAGAATAAAAATATAAAAATAAAAGTTTCTTGAAAAGAAATCCCCAACCAAATTCCTATGAAGGATAGCCTTCCCAATGTATCCTGCAAGATGTGGACTACAATTCCCACAATTCTTATCTAGCAACTGCCGCTAGGTTTTGTGGGAATTGAAGAGGGGGGGGGGAACAGAACTACCAAGATTTTTGTTAACCCCATTTGCAGATATATCCATGAGTGTTGGTGTGCACAAAATCCTACTGGTTCTACTGCTATTGAGAAAGTGGATTCTTGCATATAGGCAGAAGGAGGGACTAGATCAGTGGTTCTAAACCTGTGGGTCGGGACCCCTTTGGGGGTCGAACGACCCTTTCACAGGGGTTGCCTAAGACCATCGTAAAACACATTTTTTCAATGGTCTTAGGAACCGAGACACCAATTTTATGGTTGGGGGTCACCACAACATGAGGAACTGTATTAAAGGATTGTGGCATTGGGAAGGTTGAGACCCACTGGACTAGATGATCTTGAAGAGCCATTCCAATCCTTACACTGTCTGATTCAGCGGCACCTGCTTCCAAAATATCGTCTATGTACAGCAACAGTGGTAATAGCCTTGCAGATGAATTCTAACTGCCACTTTAAGGCTATATTGTTATATCTCATGCTTGGAAGTTGCATCTCTTGAAAGGCAAATGATTGACTTGGCGTTACACGACCGACATAGTTACTTTGAAAGGGCAAGTAAAGTAAAACCTTCAATGTGTGTGTGCCAAAGACACTGTGCAAATGTCATGTTACATAATTTCATTAGAAGGAGATTAAAGGCACTTTAAATATTTGTTATTGACACTTTAATCTTGATAAAAATATTAAAATGAATGTTTCTAATTATCCTTTAAAATTGGTTTTGGGAGATACAGCTTATATTCCAGCTAAATAAAGATATGACATTTGTGCCAACTTTTAAAGGTTAAAACAAAAGTATGGTATTGACAGATACAGGATTCAAATGTATAAAGTTATGTGAAATGTACATTTAACAAAAAGGGCCTAGTGTAAGAAGGGATAAAATCAAAGAATGCTAAAGGGTTAATTTAACGAGAATGACTCTTTACCATGCAGGTTAATTTGTGGTGTGCCAGTTCTCTTTCACCCAATTCTCTGGGAGCTAAATGTGATTGAGAATGGAGTGAAGTCTCTTTAGAGCAACGCTTTTCAATCTTGGTAACTTTAAGATGTGTGCACTTCCCTTTGCTAGCTGGGAAATTTGGGGAATTGAAATCCATACATTTTAAGCAGAGGTGGTATTCAGCAGGTTCTGAACTAGTTCTGGAGAACCAGTAGCAGAAATTTTGAGTATTTTGGAGAACCAGTAAATACCACCTCTGACTGGCCCCGCCTCCATCTATTCTCTGCCTCCCGAGTCCCCGCTGATTGGGGGGAAATGGGGATTTTGCAGTAATCTTCCCCTTCCATGTCCACCAAGCCACGCCCACCAAGCCTCACCCACATGTAGTAAAAATTTTTGAATCCCACCACTGATCTTAGGGTTGTCAAGGAGAAGAAACATTGCTTTTTTAGAGGTTCTTCTGGGGCTCATCCACACAGTAGCAGTGATATCGCCAGACCTCGCTGTTTCGGCAGAGTAAGGAAGATACTCAGGGAGGATTCACACCCTGGCCAGTATCTCTTTACACTCTTACCATTGGGGAGAAGACATCAAAGCATAGCCAGATGGACAAACAGATTTAAAAACAGCTTCTACCCATGGGCTGTCAGACTCCTAAACACAATCACAAACACTTCATGTACATATGGAAGCTATGACTAGTTCCCCCCCCCCATTACTTGTATAAGGATTATTCTCTATACCAGTGACAGCTAACCTTTTTGTAATTGTGTGCCGAAAGTGCATGTGTGCACATGCACCCATAATGCAATGCACATGCTATCCCCCACGCTCCTCCATGCATGTGCATGCAACTCCCTTGCACTTCCCCTGCCCCCCGCACATGCATGTGCAACCCTGCGTTCCCCCACCCCTTTGCATGCACACATGACCCCCCACATGCGCTCCACACATACGCACACACACTCAGTGCTCCCACCACCCCATGCATACTTAACCCCCCACATGTGCCATCCCATGCACACAGACATGTTCTCCCCCTGCGCATGTACAGCAGTGACCCAAAAACCAGCTGGCCAGCAGGAATCGCGCACACATGTGCAATGGAA